TGTTCCTTAATAATTAGTAGATGTGAAAAATATTACCATTGAAATCTACCTGATGACTTTATATCCATGCTCAGATGTCAAGGAGCTCAGAAACTAATCGACTGTGAGTAGTAATAATCAGATATATAGGGATTAGAAACCCATGTGCAAATATCTTAATGTCAACTGCATTGAAAATGAATTTTTCTGTATGAAACTGTGTAGTTTAATAATGAAATGGAGACCTTTTTTAGAGTTTAAAACCATTTAATTTTAAGTCTTAAAGGGTTTATACTGAGTACAATATTGTATAACTGTAATAATTCAACTGTAAACCTAAAAATTTACAGTCAGTGTTGAAAGAGATGCATCTTAGCTCTGGAAATTGTTATTGAATATGTCAAAGTTGTTGTAATGAAATGCTTTTTTAAATTATGTGGTTATTAAATAAATAATTTTAAAATGCATAAAACTCTTGACATTTCTGCTTTTTTTTTTTTTTTTTTTTTTTTTTTTTAAAAAAAAAAAAAAAAAAAAAAAAAAAAAGAGGACGATAAATCTTCTGTGTAGACCAGGCTGGCCTTGAACTCACAGAGATCTGCCTGCCTCTGCTATTTTTAATCAGTACCATTCAATAAAATAAAATGAAACAAACAAAATGAAACAACCCCCCAAACCTGCCTTTTTGGCAGTCCTGTTATTTAAACCCTGGTCTGCATCAATTTACCTTGACAAAAGAAGTATTTTGTTATTGTATATATAAGATACATTTAGATCTCAGAAAATGATTCTGTTTGTCACTAATACCCTTCCCTAAATTTGTAAGAACTCTGAAGTTTTGATTTTTAGTGCTGTAGATCCATTACCCTTTTGAGCCAAACATTTTAAATTCTGCTTGAAAAAAAAGAAGCTAAATTAATATATATTAAGGACTTTGGTATAGTTCTTTTGTGTAATAATGTGAATTGTCACTGGCTAATTTATATGTTAAACTGGTTTCCCTTAAATATTTTCTCTTGTTGCTTGTATGGAGTGCTCTGCAATGAGGACCATGCAGGGCACCACAGCAAGGACTCACTTTCCATTAGAGACACATCCCAGAGAATGCCCAGACTCTATGGAGTTCAGCTCACTTATTTACAGTCCAGCAGGTGGCCTCTGAGGGACCCCATCCCACCCTCTCTGTGTTGCATACTGTAATAGGGTCTCTTGTCCCTGTGCTCTCAAAATACCCCAGGTTCCTGCCTACTGGATTAGGGCAGCCTCTCCCCTTAGGGCTGATGCCCATGAGAACATAGTATGTGAACCAAACAATTCAGCACCATGCTAGCTCCCAAAGACTGCTCAGTATGTATCTGTACATAAGTGCTTCAGTGATAAGAGTGGACCTTTGTCAGGTGTGGTGGCACACGCCTTTAATCCCAACACTTGGGAGTCGAGGCAGGTGAATATGAGTTTGAGGCCAGCCTGATCTACACAGTGAGTTCCAGGCAGCTGAGGCTACAGGGAAACCCTGTCTAAAAAAGACCCAAAAAACAAGAGTGGACCTTTAAGGGGGCTGGAGAGATGGCTCAGTGGTTAAAAGCACTGGCTGCTCTTGCAGAAGACCCAGATTCAGTTCTTTGCACGCATATAGTGGCTAACAGCCACTTGTAGTTCCAGTTCCAGGGGATCCAATGCCCTCTTCTGAGCTCGTCAGGCACTGCATGATATATGGTCCACTTATATACATGCAGGCAAAACACACATACACATAAAATATAGATAAATAAAAATTTTTTGGTCTTTTTGAGATAGGGTCTGCCAGTAGCCCCAGCTGGCCTGGAACTCACTAAGTAAACCAGGTTGGCCTCAGACTCAGAGATCCACCTGCTTAGCCTCCCAAGTGCTGGGAATTAAAGGTGTGTGCCACTACAACCAGCAAAGGTCTGAGATTAAAGCCATGTGCCACTTTGCCTTGCTGATAAATAAAACATTTAAAGAGTGGGCCTTTAAAACCAGAGCTCTTGACTGTGCCCTCAGGATTATATTTGGCCTTCTCTACCACCCTGTAACTTATACACTATTCACCCCTCCTTTTTTTTAAACATTTATTTTTAACTGTGTGTGTGTGTGTGTGTGTGTGTGCATGTGAATGCAGGTAACTGGAGCATCTGTCCTTTGATAAATGAAGACACAGGCTAAGTGCCCTCCCTGGACTCTCACACTGTGTAAGTTGCAGATCTAGAACTTGAACCCAGGAAGTTTGCTCTTAACCACCACCCTTTACCATCAGTGACTATATATGTCTGCTGATTTTGACTTTTCTGTCTGCCTCTATGTTATTTATAATTTTATGGTGCTGGAGGTTGAACCCAGGGCCTTTCACACTTGAGGCAAATGCTCTGTCATTAAGCTGGATGTACTCCAAGTTCTTTGGTCTCATTTTGGAATTACCCACATGCTGACTGGAGCCAGCAATGAAAACCCCCAATCTCCCCAAATCTCCAAGGACTGTGACTCCCCCAATGGGCAGGGTACTGTCTTCTTCTCCCCTCATTGGGCCTCAAACCCACACTTCCTATTCTCCAGAGCCCCTGAAGGAAACGTGGGGTGAGGGAAACCTGGGGGCTTCCTCTACCTCCTGTGACAGACTGAAGTCTTAAGCCTTGAGGAAAAAAGTCCAGGCAAACACAAAGGCAGCTGACAGACCTTGGGTTCCTGCCACCAGATTGCAGGCTCATTTGGAGGAAAAACAACAGAAGAGAAATGACTCTGGCTTTTGTTTCTTTTTTTTTTTTTCTGTAGTTTGTGGCAGACAGTCCACATTGGATGGTCCTATTCTCTTTTTATAGCTTATTTTGTATTTTTTATCAGGGCAATGCACTCACATAGTGTAAAGAATCACATAATACGGACCAAAAGGCAAACAAGCAGGCTCCTCTTTTCTTCCTTGCACACCCTGGTGTCTTGTTCTCTGGAGTGGCCCTGTCCACTGGTACTTTTTTCTAGTGTTTCCTATCCCTGAGAAGACAGGGTCTCCATTGTGCTCTGTGGTGATTGAGTTTATGGTGTTTGTTGGGCTCACAGAAGAAGACGATTTTGTATCTCACATTCAGTATCTCATACTGTGCTGCTTTCAGTTCTGAGTCAATACTGACGTTCGCCTCCACACTCCCATGCTCATTGTGAGGAGGTGAGCAGCGTTCTCTGCTGAGGTCAAATAAGCTGCCATGACTGAGTGCTCCCTTGTGCAACTTTTTGGTTTTCCCTTGAATTACCAACTGCTGCATCAAGAACAAATTTGCTTAGTGTTCTTTGACTAGCCTTCTCATGACTTCTAAAAGTGAAAAAATAAAAACCATTTCCAGCACACTTTCCACATGGCCAACTCTCTGAGCGACTCCATCAGTTCTCTTTCCCCCTAGATCCCTGTCTTCCAGAACCCTCAATCCCCTTGCTACATTCTGGACTGGATGCTGTCCAGAGGCACAGAGGCTCCTGAACCTGTCCCATGTGTCCCTGGTTCCTTTCACTCTCTCTTCCAGACTTGCTTCTGTGGGACACCTCCTGCAGGGCCTTGCCAAGATGGCAGCAAGGATCTTTGAGACTGACCAGAAAGTCACAGGGAGGAAGTGCTGATGTCACTTGAACTGCTTGCTGAATTACCTGTCATCAGGGGCCTGTAGCTTCCTACACCCTCTGGAAGGTTTCCCAGCTAGTCCTTCTCAAGTTGCTGTTTCCCTCCACCTTTTAGCTGTCTGACTAAAGCCTGAGCCCCAGCATGCATCGTACACAGTACCATTCAAGACATGAAAGTAACATTTCTTTTGTCTTTTTGAGACAGGGTCTCTCTTCCAGTTGGCCTGGAAGTTACTATGTAGATCAGGCTGACCTCAGTTTCATAGTGATCCTCCTGCCTCAGCCTCCTGAATACTAGCTACAGGCGTGTGCCACCACTTATGCCTGCCGTAAGTTGTTTTTATGTTGCTAAGAGCACACGGGATAAGAAAAAGTAAGACAGGCACCCAATGGACCAGACTCTGGTTCTCTTCCACCTACTAGATCTCTTTGAGCCTTTTCTTTCTGTAAGAATGGACTAATGATGACCTTGTGGTTGCCATGGTCCCTGGACACAGTGGATGAAAAGCACTGTGTAGCACACAGCAGGGCCCAGCAGGGCAGGTGCCCAGCAAACTGCCTGCTGCCCAGGGTCCATACCTTGAGCTCCTGAGCTTTGGCTTTCTCCATCCTGTGCTGGTGGACAGCCTCAAGCTGGGCCTTGGTGGCCTGGCTCTGCTGCACACTCTCCTGGAGCTCATGCTGTAGTTTCTCCCTCTCACGGTCTGACAATTGTTTGAGTGCCTGCAGGTCCTCCCTGTACTCACTGGCACACTGCTCCAGAGCCCCCTGCAGCTGGGAGACCTGCAGAGATACAGGTTCAGCCTCAGGCTGGGTCCTTTCCCTTCCTGGAACTGTTGCCCTTAAAGGCAAGCTTTCCTAGGCCTTGCTGAGCTGCCTCCACTTTGGGAACTCGGGGTGCGTTGAGAAGCAGGGTAAACAAATGCTGGAAAGGAGTCCTGAGTGAGATCCTGAGTCCTGGGAAAGCAGGGAGACTGGGCTAAGGAGCTACAGGCCTCAGAGAAATCAAGAAGGGATCAGAGAAATCTTGCAGAGGTCCACACAACAGCCTCCTTTACCTCAGACTTTTACTGACTGCCACATTTAGTGCCACCTTTCTGCTTGTCCTCAATACCCACCACTTCCCATGCCTTTCCACCCTTCCCAGCCCCTCCTCCCTATAGCCCCAGCTATCCTGGAATTCACTATGTAGACTAGGCTGGTCTCAGTCTCACAGATATCCACCTGTCTCTGTCCCACCCCCACCCCAGTGTTAGGATTAAAGGCATGTGCCACCACACCCAGCCTGACATATATTTTTTATCATCACTGCTACCAGAAATTTTGAGTGAATAAGCAAGACCAAAAATCCATCTTGGCCTGGACCCATGACACCCTCCCCAGCTAGGACTGAACCAGGCCCTGTGTGCTTCTCTGAAGCTGTCTGTAGGCACAATCTCCCTCTGGGATGGGTGAGGCACACCCTAACCAGGGCTGTCCTCCTACCTGGGTTTGCAGTCCGGCCTTTTGGCTTTGCCAGTCCTCTGGTAGATGTCTGATCTCCAATGCCTTCTCCTTCAGCACAGAGCCCAGGGGAGGCTGTAGGTCACTTCCTTCCTTGAGGGTTTCCCCAACCCTGTGAGGACATGAACACCGTAAGGACTAAGAATGACTTTACCCCTCTAATGATACTTCAGCTGCTCTGCCTGGGCAGAGGAGCTGGGGTTAGAACCATTTTGTTTTTCAAAAAACAATGTGACAGATAAATTCTAAGTAATATTACTCAAGGGTTCTATAGGGACTACCTGATACCATATCTTAGTGGGTGCTTAATAAATGAGATCCAATTGTTAGAAAGAATGGGAGCTTAGAGTTCTTCTGGGGGTCCTGAGAAGCTAAAAACAGTCTTTATAGTTGAGCTTCACAACTCTTCCTGTATATGGAAAAAAGAAGAGAAACAGTACACTTTACACAGTGCTCCACACTTCTTAAAGCACACTTGCAATTTTTTTTTTCTCTTTTTGAGTCAGAGTCTCCCTGTATCCCAAGGTGACCTGGATTCGCTATGTAGACCAGGCTGGCCTCGAAGTCAGAGATCTGACTGCTTGTCCCTCCCAAGTGCTAAGATTAAAGGCTTGCACCACCATGCCCAGCCACACTCATAACTTTTACTGACTGTCACCAGGTATAAATTGGGGGTGGGGGGAGGTTATAAACAGGCCTCTCCCTGTTGAAAAGCTGGCTGAAAGCTGCACGATTTCTGTGTCCTAGATAAAATGCTGAGAACTGTCTTTGGGGGAGACCCTCTTTTCTCATTCTGAATTTTAGAACTAGCTGAGAGATTAAAGTGTTTAGATTGGGATATTAAGTGTTTGCTTCATTGAGCAACACAAAGAGATATCATATGGTGACCTTTAACTCCCACAGCAAGAAGGCAAGAACCTTAGGCCAGAGGACAAGAGTTTAGGGAGTGAAAGCCATGGACTCGGAAGAAAGAACAAGAGAACAGGGACTCTGCCTAGCAGAGGAAAGAAGGCCCCAGACACATGAGTATAAGATTTACATGGGTGAAAAATATCATAATTAAACCCATCTTTTATACACATACACATACACAAATGCCATTTCAGTTTTCTTTATGGCTGCATAATATTCCATTGTGTATATGTATCACATTTTCTTTATTTATTTATCTGCTCATCAGTTCTTTTGAGCTCCTTCCTTTTACCATTGCAACAATATGGCCTAGGTAGGGACTACTTCAGCTTATGTCTCAGCATGAGAAGGCATGTGGAACAAACTTGAACTCTCATGTGGCAGAGCAGTAAAACCTCACCCTCAGCTAGGAGCCTTAGTAAAGCATAGCTAAGGCAAGCAGAGAAGTAGCTCACTGATTAGGTGAACATCACTACTTTGAGGATGTTTGATGTGGCTAATATAGGTAATATAGATGGGAGTTCCCCCAGGGGAACAAAGGTCCCCTTTGTTTCCTGACAAGAGAAGGAAGGATTGTGACCAGTCTAGGCTTGAAGCTTGGGCAGGATTACTAACTGCTTTGAGCTTCGGGTTCTTTATGAAATGACCTTCCTGGGTTGGTATGACAACAAGGAGGCTTATGGAAGTCATAGCTGTACAGAACATGCAAGGTTCATCCATTCCCTCTGCCAACATGTCCAAAGCCAGCAGTAAACAGGTGAGGACAGAAGGAATGGGCAAAGGCGTCCATCCTGAGTCCTTGTGCTGGGATGCCACCAGTCTGCCTCTACCTTTCCTCTTCATGGTTGCTGGTTCCTTCCTCAGCTGAAAGCTTCTCCTGACACTCTTCTCTGGGCAGTGTCTGAGAAGGTTCCTTCAACGTCAAACATGAGTCCTAAGGCAAAAACAGTGGTGAGATGAGACTAACAGCAGTATCGTGATTCAACCTGACTTGTTCAAGCCAGGCAGCAGAGGAGGGAAAGCCTCCAGAGATCCACTGGGCACCCTCTCATAGATGCCAGATGGCAAGGTTCCTTGAACAGCACCAGGTTTATGGTGATGTAGGCCTGTCTCCTTGTGTCCTGATTTTCAGTCTGTGAAAATAGTTCACAAGGCTGGTAAAAAATGCCCTGAGAGAGTCAGTGACTTGCCCAGTTCTCACCACTAGTGAATTCTGCAGTGGGATGTGCAATGGAGCCTTCCCACACTGGAGCCTGAACTCACCACAGTTCTGAGTGTACCACACAGATGTTCTTTGTTGAGCCTGACTCATGGGTCCATGGAGAGGGTCAGAGGGCAGTGCTGACATGGCCAGTGGTCAGCAATGTGAGTAGCTGTTGTCATTATTGTCATACCCATGTCCCAGGCTACCTCTCCTCACAGAGCATTAGGATGGAACTTGCTGGATGACCAGAAGCACTGAGAAATCGGCCGTGGGAAGAGTGAGAATGATTCCTAACAGTAATTTGATCAATTGAATCTGTGTTGCCATTCTCTCCTTCCCACAGAACCATAAAGGTGCCAGAGACTTCTTTTTCTATTTATCTTGATAACCACTGTCCTTGAAAAACGGTGGGATAAGATAGGCTAGAAATTCTCAAATTTCATTCAGTGGTGGCAAATTACAACCTGGATGTTTTCATAACTTCCTTGCATGGCCCTAAGCCAGGACCCTCCCTTATCTAGACCGATTCATCAACTGTGTATAAGTGTCAGCTTGCAATTGTGGTCTTCAAATTGTGTTCCTGGGACCCTGGGAGGCATGAGAAAAGACTTAGGTGGGAAGGAGCTGAGTGAGCTGGAGGGTGGGTCCTTGGCACCCATACCCACTTGACCTAGAACGAAAGTACCTTGTTGCACCGTGTGTACTGTGATGGCCACTAAACTCAGTGACGTGAGGGCAGTAGTCACCTTCACGTTGCAAAGCTCACTGTCAGTTCTAAGGGCTCCCCTAACTGGATCTCACAGGTGAATTTGTACTATCTGATTCCTCCCTCCTTTATGCAGGGGTTGACATGTCACCTGTCAGGATCCACTCGTGCCATTTGCTAGTGCAGGGTGGTAGACTGCAACTCTCTCCTGGGCTTTCCCTGCCCTACCTCTCATCAGATGCCCCTCCTCAAGTCTCCTCTGCTAAAGTTCCTCCTATGCCCCAGGCCTTAGTCCTTGGACATCACTTTTCTTTCTGTCCTTAATGTCTCATTTAGACTCACTACAGTAAGTTCTACATGAATATCGATGCCACGTGAATGCTTAAAACAGACAAATTTACCTGTCCATTTCTAAGGTTTCCTCAGTGTTCAGATGTGTACATCTAAAATTCCTTAATGTTTAATTAGCCTCTCAAACTGTGACATGTCCATAATTCCAATCAAGAAGCATGTACCTGCCTCAGGGATTCTGCACACTGTTTCCGCTGCCTGAAAATGCTCTTCCTTCTGATGTTTGCATCCTTAGCCCCACACTTCACTTACTGCTACCAAGAGACCGTCCTTAGTTTAAGGCTGGGGCTCTGGTACCAGATTCCTGTGTTTAAATCTCAGTTCTTCCACTAACTAATGATATAACCTTAGAAAAATTGCTCAGTTGTTATGAGAATTAAATAAACAAATCCCTATACAGTCCTTAGAACAGGTCTAAAACAAGTACTTCCGTTAATATAGGATTATTGTTCCCTGACTACCTTCTGTTATGGTTTGAATATACAGCGTACCCACCAAACACTCATGTTGGTGACACTATTGAGAAATGATTAGGGGACTGGAGAGATGGCTCAGTGGTTAAGAGCACCAGCTGCTCTTGTGGAGGACCTAGGTTCAGCTCCCAATAACCACATGGCAGCTAACAACCATCTGTATCTCCAGTTCCAGGGGATACAATGGCCTCTTCTGGCCTCCTCAGGAATTTGTACTACACTGATATACTTTTATACATGCAAGCAAAATACTCATATACATAATATTTTTTTACACACAGATTTCTACACACAGATTCTCTTAAATACCACTCCCACCCTCAAACTCTCTTTACCCAACTTTCTGTATTTTTTTCTGAAGTATTTATCACAGCCTGGTGTCTATTTCTATTTACTTATTTATTTGTATTTTTTATTTATTATTATTATTATTTTCTTTCTGCCTTTTTGAGACAGGGTTTCCCTGTAGCCCCATCTGGCCTGGAGCTCACTATGTCGACCAGGATGGCCTTGAACTCACAGAGATCCACCTGCCTCTGCCTCCCAAGTGCTGAGTCTAAAGGCATGTGCCACCATGCCCAGCTTCTATTTATTATTTTTATTTTGTGTATGACTGTATTGCCTGCAGGTATGTAAGTGCACTCATGTTGTGCAATGCTCTCAGAGGCCAGAAGAGGGTGTCAGATTCCCTGGAGCTGTAGTTATGGACTGTTGTTAGCTGCCATGTGGGTGCTGGGAACTAAACCCAGGTCCTCTTCAGGAGCAGCCAGTGCTCTTAACCACTGAGCCATCTCTACAGCCCCAGCTGTCTATTTTTAAAGTATATATTTCTGTCACAGGAAGGTGTGCTCCATGAGGGCAGGGACTCTGCTCCGTGCACCTGTTTCCAGGATGCCTGGATCAGTGTGTGACCTATTGGAAAGCCTCAGCAAACACCAACTGACTAAGCTCAGATGTGGTGAAACACTCTAGTGGAGGCAAAAGGATCATTATCTCCCATGCTAGCCCTATGGTCATCTTATGTCTGCAGAGGAAGTGGCTTGGGACTGACTAGATTTATGTGACAAATCTCCAGCAAAGCAGGAGGGTGAGGCATGGAGAGGGTTATAGTCCAAAGTTTGGGTGTTCCCTTGCTTTGTTTAGGAGGTGTTTCTGCTTTTTTGATTTGTAAGTTCATGGCCTATTTGAGTCATTTGTGTTGTTTCTGAATGTAGACATATACCCTGTGGAGGTGACATCAGGTAGCTAGCTCACTGCTTACCTGCCAGCAGTGATGGCCTATAAGACAGCAGAAGCCCACTCCCCTGACCCATGTCACAATTTTAGGGAAAAATGGGGTAGTTTATAATTATAATGTGAGATTTTAATATATATCTAGCAGAAACTAACATTTTAACTACACAGAATAAACTATATAAGGAAGATTTTAAAGAATAATAGCAGCCAGGTATGGTGGTGCACGTTTTTAATCCCAGTACTACAGAGGCAGAGGCAGGCAGATCTCTGTAAGACTGCGTCCAGCTGCTCTACATAGTGAGTTCCAGGCCAGCCGGGCCTACAGGGAGACCCTGTCTGAAAACAAACAAACAAAAACAAAGAATTATGGTGTTCTGAAATAGAAACCAGGAGCTATAATACACAGTAAGAAAGAAAGAAAGAAAGAAAGAAAGAAAGAAAGAAAGAAAGAAAGAAAGAAAGAAAGAAAGAAAGAAAGAAAGAAAGAAAGAAAGAAAGAAAATAGTAGTAACAAGTACAAAACAAATAGCTCCTAACATGTATATGGTGCTTGGTATGTGCTGGGCACTTAGCTCTGAGATGGGTACTGTCACCCACGCTTGAAATGGTGAAACTGAGGCAAGAGAGGCTATGTCATCTGCCCAGTGTCATTCAGAGTCTACATTATGAAGAAAGAATTTGAATACATTTGCTTTAGTGACAAATTGAAAACATGATTTCTTTCTATTTCATAAGGAATACCAAAAAAAAAGCTGACCGTGCATTTGTAAACAAAGCAAATCTCAACACAGTAAAAATGTTGACATTCTGTAGACTGAAATTTGATGACATCATAATAAAATTAGAAAGCAACAAGAAAGTAGGTTTAGAAACAAGATGAACTTCAAAACTGAGCCTCAACTAAAGACACACTTTTAGAGGGAAATTGTGATACTTAAACACATCTATTAGAAATTACTAGAAAAGTTAGAAAAAGAACAAAAGAATAAATCCAAAGTAAGCTCAGTAGCAGGAAGGGTTATAAAACAAATAAGTGAAATAAAATTATTCTACCAACACATCCGAGCGCTGCCTTTTTGAAAAGACATGTCAAACTTCCTGCAGGCCTGATCAAAACGAAGGGACAGTAGGCCCGAGAGCAGCTTGAATAGTGGAGCAGGAGCTCATGACAGAGCAGAGATTAGAAAGAATTCCAGATGTCCTCTAAGCTGCCATGAGGCCCGTGAGACGGAATTTGCAGGATGTAACGTCTGTGCTGCTGTATTGACCACTGCTATATTTAAAGGTGACCTGGGCTGAGGTCCAGAAACAGAGGCATATTGGAAACACTGCAAGAGCTGATATATCAGATAACAACCTTGGTTATAAGCTACACCATGCTGGCCTATTTCTACACCTTATCTCATGTGCTTGTCTTTGAGTCTGAGGTGACCAGAGAGGCACTGCCATTCGATTTACAGATGAGGAACTGTGATTGGGGATGTCTAGTGACTTGTCTCAGGTCACATGGCCACTGCAGGGCGGCATGAAGAACATTCTCTGACTCTTATCCATGTATTCTGTGTCATGCACTGGCCCTTGGATATGCCATACAAACATGACCCCAGCTGCCAGCTCAGGACCTAACTGCAGGTGAGTGCAGACTGTGTTGGGCAAACATGTTGCTAAAAAATACCTAGAAAACAAAGGCTCAAAATCAACCTGAAAAGGATTACATCAACAACATAGTGGAAGAAAGCCCTGGACCTTCTGCTAACACAAAAATACCAATTCAGAAACTAAATGTAAATCTTGATGGAATGCAAACCCAGATTCAGCAAAGCTGGCAGGGATGCTTATCAGAGATGCTGCTGCTGATGCAATACTGTACAGCCAAATTATAGCCCTCTAGCTCCCAGCTTCACTCAGGACAAGGAAGGGATTACTTTATATGTTGAATACTTATTTTTCCAAGGGGAAATACAGAGCATTGGCTTCTGGACAGCCATTCACAAAGCTCTGACATGCCTGCTATGGTCTGGCCACTTGCGGGACAATGGATGCAAAGGGTTGGCAGTGTGAGGAAACAGAAACTAAAGGTACTTTCTTCTCTCAGGGAGAAAAGGAGTTTGTAGAAGCCCCCAGAATGTGGCCAGGCTGATTGATAAAGGATTCCTTATCACAAGGTTAGTTTGTGACAACCGGAAAAGTGCCTGTCTTGTGTAAGTATAGACAACAGAGTCAAGAAAACCTAAATCAGGTAGAGATGTTCCAAACAAACCTCTAGAAAGTGACCAGAGTGACCTCTAGTAATGAAACAGAGCTATGTGATTTATCCAACAGTGAACTAAAACTAATTGTCATGAAGATAAAGATAACAATGACTGAGCACTGGGAGAGTCAACCAAGATGGAAATACACATGAATATAAATGATATCAGCAATGATATAAACACAAACACACACACACACACACACACACACACACACATAAAGCATATCAAAAGCACTGGAGCAGAAGCAATACAAAGAAGGGAAGCTCACAGTAATAAATGCCTATATATATGCATAAATACATACATGTACACATTAATGTATAGGGAGGGAGACATGCACAGAAAGAACACCAGTCATGGAGCTGAAAACACAACCATTGACTTATAAAACCACAGAAAGATTTCAATAGAAGATGACTGAGTGGAAAAAATGGCTGGTAAATTTAATCTTCAGTCAAATATACTCGGACAAGCAAAGGTTAAAAAAAATGAAAAAAAAAAAGCTGAAGACATGAGACATCATCGAGTGGACCAATCTTAAGCATATGCAAATTCCAGAGGGAAGAGAAACAAAGTCTGAGAAAGCCTATTCAAAGAAATAAATAAAAGCCTCCTTTTGGAGGCTGAAAATTCTCCAAATCTGGATACATAGATCCAAAAAGCCAAGGGATGCTAAGTAAGATGAACCTAGAGAAATTCACAGTGAGACACATTTTAATCAAATTGTCCAAAGTCAAAGGCACAGAATTTTGAAGGCTCAAAAGAAAAGCTATTTGCCACATAAAAAAGATCACCATATGTCAATGAACAAAATTTTTCAGCAGAGATGTTTTAGGTTAAAAGGGAGTGGGATAATATATCCAAAGTACTGAGAAAAAGAGGGGGAAAATCAAACGGCTGAGTAAGAATACTATTCTCATGAAAACTTGATTTCAAAAATGAAGGAGACAGCTGGAAAGATGGCTCAGTGGTTAAGAGCACTGGCTGCTTTTGCAGAGGGTCCTGGGTTCAGTTCCCAGCACCCACATGGTGGTTAACAACCATTCGTCACTCCAGTTCCAGGGGATCTGATGCCCACTGACCTCCATGAACATCACATGACACAGGTGTACTTACGTGCACGCAAACAATACACTCATACACATAAATTAAAAATAAAATGAAAAAAATTCTTTTAATGGAGAAATGAACTTTCCCTAACAAATATAAGATGATATAATACCAATAGGTTTGCTTTTTGTATTAGTCACTTTTCTGTTGCTGTGATAGAAACAATATGACCAAGGGAATTTATAAAAGGAAGAGTTTATTTAGCATATGGTTCCAAAGGGGCAACAGTCCATCATGGTGGGGAGGCATGGTGGCAGAGGTGGCTGGGGTAGGAGCAGAAGCTAAGTGCTCACATCTTCAAGTAGGCACCGGAAGCAAGAGATGGCAAGGCTTAAGAACTCTCTAAGCCTGCCCCCAGTGACATGTTTCCTCCAGCGTGACCACACCTTGTAAGACCTCCCAAAACAGCGCCACCAACTGGGGTCAAAATGTCCAAATACTTGGAGCCTATGGGGGACATTCTCATGCAAACCACCACACTTTTCAAGAAAGAAATATTAAAAAATAAAAAAGAAGTAAGTTAATCTCCTGAGAGAAGGAACAATAAAACATAACAAAAGCAATAGGATCAAACAGCACAAAGGAGGAAAGTTTATATCTATAAACACTTGCATTCGAAAAAGAAGAAAGACAAGTGGGGTCACTCCTTATGAGTCATTGGTCAGGGAGGTCCCAGAGACCCCAAAACAATACAGGCTCTTGCTATTCCTCTTGACTGCCTGCCAGAACTAGATGATCAGGCCCTACTGCTGAAGACACCACATACCTTGGTTGCATGATGTAGAAAATCTAGCTAGAACTGGGCAGAAGCTTCCTAGCTGTTGGCTAGCTTTTCCTAGTCCTGGAAGGCACTATGCAGGCTGCTGGGTAGAAAAGGCATCAATGGTCTTACTTAGCTATGAACCTTATGAACAATGAGCCCAACCTGCCAAGCAATATGTTTCCACTAGTGGAATAGTGGTAGTAATATTATAGGGGCAACCAGTCACTCTCTGCTTGGATCTGAGGCCTGTTCCATGAGAGGAAATCCATGTAATCCTGGTCCAAAATCTGTCACAGTCAAGGTCATGGGCCCTTGGTGGGAACTGAATATTGTTGTTTAGCTAAATTGACACAGCATCAAACTTCCTTCTAATTATTTATGTTTTTACCTACAGACCAATGCTTCTCTCTGCCTTGATCAGCGAAGCCTCTTTCCAGTGAACAGTTGTGAATACAGAGATTCATGGCTGCAAAATTGCTGAGAACAAATAATGGAAGAAGCAGGGGAAGAATGCAAGAACCCAAAGGTATGGAAAAGGGCCGTGAGATGTCATCTTCTGGGCAAGACACAGCTAATGCAGTTAAGAACACAGCAGCTGCTGGTGCCAGCACCAGGTTTGCACAAGAATGGGCCTGTCAGCAGTCAGGCATGAATAGAAGAAGGGTCCACAGGGCCTCACCCCTCACTGCTGAAGTATTCACTACTGACAGATTCAGAGAAGTGGGGGAGTCAATGTCATTCATTAGGTATCCACTGGTGGATAATTCCAATCCAATGGGTTACAATAAATGGGTCACAAAATAGAACCAATGGTCATGAATCTGGGAAATAGACTTGTAGAGAGGAGATGAGGTGGTTGATAGGGATGGGAGGGAGGGGAGGGGGGGAAGACAGCAGTCAGAATGCAGTATATACACGTATGAAATTGTCAATGAACAAACAACAAAATGGAAGAAAGATTTCAAATAAACAGCCGAAGTGCTAGAAAAAACTAGTCCAAGGAAAAACAAAGATCAGAGCAAAAAAAATTAGGTGTAAAATACAAAAAGTTAATGAAAGTATGAGTTGGATTTTGTTTTGTTTTGACACAGGGTCTCATGTTATGAGTTGATTTTTTTTTTTACCAAGGTAAATAAAGCTGACTAAGCCAAATGGGAGAAGACTCACAAAAGTAAAATCACAAGTGAAAGAAGAGTTGCTACAATTGATGCCACAAAATAAAGAGGAACATAAGAGACAACTATGGAAAAGAGACCTGATAACAGTCAGCACTAAGTAGACTTGGGGTTTTAAAGGGGACACGGGGAGAATGAATGAAGCTGGAATGAAAAAGTGGTGGGGGATGGGGAGAAATTGGAGGGGAGGAAATAGGGGATAGTTTGATCAAAACACATACACCTATGGAATTCTCAATTAAAAATAAAAGAAGTTTAAAAAAGGCATTCTCAATTCCCTTCATTTAGTTGTCAAGTCATGCTCCAGTTTACATACTAGGAAGTTCTGAACATCTGCTCTGTGTAGGTGTGTTAGGTGCTGGCAAGATAAAGACCAATAAAACACAGCTCTTGACTTTCACAAACATGTCCAACAGGATGAAAAGACACAGCTTGATAATTTCAACACACTGTGTAAATTGTAAAAATTTCCCCTCCTCTCTTTTCCCAACAATGTACACTGCCTATTTCAGGTTAAAACACATCATTCCTAAGGTGCTAGGGTTGTAACCCTTCAATATTATACAGATGAACAATACAGTGGATCAATGAGTTGACTACCACATTCAAGCCTAGTAATACTGCTTGAACAGTCCGCTTCTCTAAACTCCAACTAGAGTCCTACTGCTCCAGCTGTCTACTTTATGACCTCCAACAGGAATAGACTCCCCCCTGTTCTGTTGTCAGCTGTTTGGCATCTGAACAAGCCCTCTATCAGGAATAACCCTGAGCTACTCCTGGCTTATGGAACTGAGGGTATCATGTGTTATCTGCCCCTGATTCTCACTCCTAGGCTCTCCACTGGGCATTTTCTCAGGTTCAGCCCAGTGCTCTCTCCCCTGCTACAGGGGCCTGAGTAGAAATAGTTCACACAGAAAAATAAGTAGTTTGCCTCTCCTCCAAACCATGGACTGCAGAGCTTCTACCCAAGCAAAGATGAGTGTTTTAAACCTTTTAGTAACTTAACCTCTTTTAGATTTTTTTTCTATTAAAACACACACACACACACACACACACACACACACACAACCAGGAAATCTTCTGGAAGGGAACATTCAAAGTCATTTTCAAGTTCAGTTGACAATCTTTAAAAGGCAGTACTTTGTTCATTTTAAAATAGAACACCTAATGTAATGGGATTTTGCTGAAATGATTGCAGAGGACTGTAATGGATACTATAAAGTCACCTTACATTTATAGACTCTTTAATGGTTTTGAGAAGTGTTGTCATATGGTTTCTGCCGTTCATCACCACAAGTCTCTGGGGTATGGTGGGCAGGAATATTGCAGCCATTTTATTAATAAGTAGCAGACCACCAAAGCTTAAAGCACTGCCTTGGTACCACTCTCCTGGTCTCAGTTTCCCTATGTGTGAAATGAAGATATATTAGCATTTGCCTCAGGGCTGTTGTGGGGACTGTAAACACCAAGTCAGGGCCTTGTCAGCAGCTTCTACTCTTTTGGAATACCTTTCCGACCCCTCTCAGGCAGAGAGCTCCCTTTCTTATAAGGGCTATGTAAGAGCCTTTCTGACATTGTTATGGCACTCCTCATACCATGTTAGTATTAAGTAAATATCTATTCCCCCATTCAAATTTGAGCCCTCCAAGGAGAAAACTGGGCCTGATTCAGCTGGATATCCTGCTCCATGGCTTGTATAGTGAAAGCACTCATAAACATTTGTGAGGATGAAATGACTTCAATAGCGCTCACCACAGCAGCTGTCCTCCAGGACAGCATTTTAAGCAGGAGGAGCTATAGAAACTTTACCCTTCTTTGTCCCTAGTTTAGTACCACATACAAAAAGATTCATCCAGAAAAAAAGTTTTCCCTCAGAATTACCGAGACTAGAACGAATGGCTTTGTGGAAACCAACAAATGACACTAGAGTCTAAAAAAATCTTTACGAGACTGGATCTGAGGCGTAAAGACAAAGGTTCAGTTAGGCCTCAGGTAACTCTGGTGGGGACAGAGCCACTCCCAAGTCTGACAATCCTCTCTGAATGTCTCAGGAGTGGAGTGAAAATTCTGCTCTCATTTAACATTGTTATTATTATTATTATTTTTTTTTTATCACTCAACTCACTGAAATACTTTGGCAGGACAACCAATAGCCTAAACTTAAACCCCTGAGTCTTAAACTTAAAATTCATATCCTCCAATCCAGCAAGAACATCACTGGGGAGGCTGTCATTTAGCACTCTCCTTGGTGTCCCCACAGGACAGCCCCTCTAGGCCTCTAGGCCTCCTTGTTTGCATGTCCTCTGCCTTGTTTGCAGGTCTGGCTACACTGCAGGATGCTGACATTGCTCACATGAAATCTGGTTCCTGGCAAAGCTTCTACTCACTGGGTTGACCTGGAGGATGGCTTGTCAAAAATATTTGGACTGAATTATAAACCTCTGATTGGCAGTTTAGAGAGTTTTATACATCATATTGACAAGGTGTGTTGAAATAGTCACGTGTGCTGTTGGTGAGACTGTACACTGGACCAACATCAGTGGGAGGCATAAGGCAGTTCTCTATCAAAGTTAAAAATGTACATATCACTGGAATGAGCAAGTACTTACAGCGTGAAGAGTTATTGACAAATGCCAAGTACTGTTTCCACTAATGGGCATATATTAATTCATTTGGCTCAAAAAAACAAACAAGCAAGCAAACAAAAAACCCCAAACCCTCTGAATTAGGTAGTTACCTCATCCTCACTTCACAGATGAGAAAGTTGAAGCAGACAGATGCTAAGTATCTACCCAAGATTATCCAGCCAGAAAGAACCCAGGCAATTTTATCCTTCAACAGTGCTAGCCAATAAAGAGCACTTTCATAATCTCAACGTCCACCATAAGAAAAAGATTAAGGGACTGGAGAGATGGCTCAGCGGTTAAGAGCACTGAGTGCTCTTGCATAGGACCCCATTCCCACACCTACATGGCAGCTAACAACCATCTGTAACTCCAGTTCCAGGGGACTCTAACAGCATCTTCTGACCTCCATGGGCATTGCACAACATGGGTGCACTTACACACAAGCAGACAATACACTCATACATATAAAATAAAAATAATAAAATATTCTAAAAATAAAAATTAAAAAGAAAAAGATTATACTGTGGGGCTTTGTTTCAATGATAACTAAACAGCTGCTTTTTAAAATGAAGTTGTTCACTTGGGAGGTAGAGGCTGGCAGATCTCTGTGAGTTCAAGGACATATCCAGGCCAGCTGGGGTTACAGGGAGATCCTATCTCACACACAGAAAAAGAAGACATTGTTATGGAAGTATACTGATAGAGTACAATCTCATAAAAAGTTTAAAAAGCAGGCAGACCAATGAAAATATGCTATTGTTTGTAGAAAAATATTTCCATAATTATGTCTGTATCTGCACATTACAGTTCTAGAAAAACATACAGAAAGAGATATAACAAGAAGTTTTCCTGGGATAGGGAGCACAGGAGGGTGGTCCTTTTCATTGTATGGTTATTCCTTTAGACTTCTATACCATGTACATAGATGACTTATTTTGAAAAGAAAACTTAATTTGAGAACACATGTAACACCTGAAAAACAGAATGTTTGCTTAACAGAAAACAGCATAAGATCTTAATTCTATTCCTAAGGGTCCAGTTGTTTTTATTTTTTGAATTTTTGTATATTTTATACTGAACATCTTAATCATCTTTATACCCCTTCCCCATTGGAACCCTCCCGTAGCCCCACCCCACTGGAATTCATACATTCTGTCTTTTGTGTTAAGGCCTATCATGTCAAGTTAGCATCCCAAGATGTCCCTCAGTGCAAGTTCATCCACTGAGGTCTAGTCAGCCCACCTGGAGTCCCTCCCTTTATGAGTATCAGCTCTTCCTCACCCAGCAGTAATCAGCTGCCAATAGGTCTTCAACTAAGATGGGGGTCTGCTGTCCATTTCCACAGTTCTGTGCTGGGTTTTTGTCTGCTTGAGTTTGCATGGGTCTTGTGCATGCTGACACCATTGCTGTAGGTTCATATGAGAAAGGTTCCAAGAGCCTGTAGGACTCTATTTGCATATGGTCATGCACCTCCCTCCCTGGCTCTTACAATCTTTCTACCCCCTCTTCTGAAATAGTCCCTGAACCTTGAGTGGGTAGATTTTAATATTGGACTAAAGATCTAATCATTTTAAAGCAATTTGTTTCTGCACATGTCTCTGCTGTAGCATCTAGCCTTGAGGCTGGCACATTCTAGATATTCCACAAATAATTCTGGAATGAATGTATCAGTGAATCAGTGAATGAACCACAAGCATATCAAATTGAATCAAAGAGAACTCACATTTTTTCCTTTTCTTTTTTCTTTTTTATATGTGTGAGTGTTTTGTCTGCTTGATGTATCACGTGTGTGTAATGCCCACAAAGGGCATTGGATCTCCTGGAATTGGAGTCATAGACAGTTGTTAACCACCACATAGGTGCTGGGAACTGAACCTAGGTCCTGTGCAAGAGCAGTCAGTGCTCTTAACGCTGAGCCCTCTCTACAATTCCAGAACTGGCACTTTTGAAGGTTCCTCCTGCAACTCTGCGTTGGAGAGGTCTGTACCTCCACATAGGAGCTGAGCTTAGTTCAGGACAATGGTCTAGAGTAAGGAGAGTCAGGTGGGAGCTGGGTTTCATGGTGAACCAACCTACAGTCCTTTACATGTACTTATATTTTGAACTTCTGTAGGATTTGCTACATAAGGCATGCAGTGATCCTCAGCTGGGGGTAATTTTGTCCCTCGGAGACATTTGACAGTACCTGGAGACATTTTGTTTGAGAGGATTTGCTACTGGTATTTGGTGAGTAGAAATCTAGCCATCCTACAGTGACAGCCCAGCCCCCACACCAAAACGTCAAGTAGTGAAGCCAAGGCGTGAACAGCAGGGATGGCACTAGCTCATGGACACGTGGTTGTGACTGTCTGAGCCCTGTTCATCAGCACTGGTGTGTGTTGTGTGTGTCGAGTATCCATGTATTTGTGCTCTCTCTCAAAAACAACCTGCCGTATGGTCTCCTGAACTGCATTTACATCTAGTCTGCAGCTTACTGACCTTATTTTAAATGTAATCTCCTCAGCGAGGACCAACCCAGGGAGCTCCATTCCACCCTCCTGCAGCAGTCATCTCAAGGAGCTGAGAGATACAATATTTGAGGAATAGCTTTTCTGGGAAATCCTGAAAAGAACCTGCAAAAACTGTTCCAGGAGTTCTTCTCTGGAATGTTAGTTAGCTTGTGAGCATGGCTCCTGAGAAACTGAAGACTGAAAACAGCTCCAGATTTCTCAAGCAGAGTCCGTCAGGCGGGGTGGGGATGAGGACAGCTCCAGATCAGCAAGGGCCTGTCCTGGGGCAGAAGGCACCTCTGATCCTTCAAGCTTCTCTTCCAGGCTCACATGTGGGCAAATGGGCAGTTCAAGGATTCTCCCCCAGTCTGGTGTCAAAGGCACAGAGAGAGGCCAGGCCACTCTCATCAATCCCAAGAGAGTTGAGGACTGTTTAATTTGGAAAGTACCCTGGGTGTGTGATACACTAAAAGAAAGACAGGATCAGATCCAGTGGTTCCATCCAGCTGTTTACCTGCCCATGACATGAGAAATCACCTAACTACTCTTACCTTCAATTTCCTCCTCTGTAAAATGGGTACACTGCAGATTGTTCTAAAACTAATGATGTCAACAATGGAAATAGTGCTCTGTAACTGCCCAGGTCCCATAAAAATGTTGGCATTCAAATCCACATTCACTTGACTCTTGGCTTATGTTTTCCCTGATGAATATGTACTTAAGTAAGGAGTCATCCTATTACAGTCACATTGAAAGCCCCTTAAGGGAAAGATGCTACTTCCTAGCCAAAAGAATGGACTCTACTTCTGTATGGAAACACACCATGGTCTCCCTGTAAGAGCTAATCCAGTTGGGCAGTCCCTCACCTGGCCAGAGGTCCACTCCTCAGGAAGGTGGGTTTACTTTAAACCATGCTAAAGAGATGGGAGGAATAATTAACACACTCATGCCTCCCGGGATCTCTGCCCTCTGTGCAGTCACTTACAGACCACAGCCTCATGGTGTTGTTAAGTCTGTCAATGTTTTGGGACCCTTAAACAGAAAACAGTAACTTTTTATCTTTTTCCTTTTCTCAGATACTTGCCAAAGCCCAAGCATTCTTTCTCAGACACCCTGGAATCTCTCTTTCCAAACTTCTGCCATGTGGCTGCTTAAAAACAGCATGGCCTTCTGTCTTCCTCCTCTCTATCTTCCTCCTCTGGGCAGCTGCTGAGATTTACAGTTTGCCTGCCCTGGGGTTTTCTTCTAAACTCTAATGAAATTGTTCTTGAACTTCTTCTGAATCTGTTCTAAAATTCTTTTATTAACAAGATTAAGAACCCCAAGAGGGAGCCCTAATTTCCCAGTAACATGTGGCACCCTAGGTGGGATTCCCCAAAATTCCCAGTGGCAATCCCAGTGAGGCCTCCCATGATAGCTGGTGTCAGGGCCAGGGAGAGAAAATGCAGGACTCCAGGGACACTTGGCTGAGATTCAGGCTTGGCTTGTAGTGTTCTCCTGCATGAAGTCTGAAGTATACTAAAAACTTGGACAGCAATAAAATAAGTAAAATTTAAGGCAGAGGCTTTTTTAAAAAATTGGCCCCTGATACCAAAATAGGAGTGAAGAAAATCATGAAAGTCAAGGCTCTCATTCACCAACTCCAAGGGAATTATTTCTACCTTTGATATCATATGAAGCACGCTGAGTGCTCATGTTGCATTTGTGTTGTGCATTAAGCTGTGTTTGGGGAAGGTATGTTGGGGGTCTTAAGCCCCAGTTCCTGAGAATGTGACCATGTTTGGAAACAGGGTCTAGGTAATTAGTCGAGGTCACATTGGGTTAAAGTAGGTCCTAAATCCAATGACTGCTGCCCATATATATGAAGACAAACACTTAAGGAAGAAAGCCCTGTAATGACTGGCAGAGATTACAATGATGTGTCTCGCCAAGAACAGCAAGGACTGCCAGCAGTCACCCGAAGCTGGGGACAGGCTAGGGTGGGTTTGCCCCCAGAGCCTCCAGAGAGAGTCCAGCCAGCACCTTGCCTTCAGGTGTCTGGACTCCAGAGCTATGAGAAAATACATGTTTGTTGTTTAAGCCAAGAAGCAGTAGAAATTCATCACTGCAGTCTTAGAAAAATAATACAGCTAACAGTCGGGGTGCCACCCAGGACCCAGTTTCCACCCTTAGGTGTCCCCACAAGGACAGTTTCATAGGTGGGACTGTTGTCACAGGAAAACAGGACCAAGGGTGTGGGGGGGGGCTGGGGGCTGTTACTATTGTGGTTAATGCTGGACAGAATCAAAGCCCCCCGCCACATACACCTTTTTTTCTGCCAGGCAGCCTGCTCTCAGAAGGAGAGATTAATTTGACAGGACTTTTATTTTTTTCAGGCTGCAAGGATAATTCCTCAGAACTCTATTTCCTTCACGGTTTTTACAAATGGATTTTGTGCTGATTTTTATCTTCACGCACTTGGCAGTGTTAAGGGGGGACATAAAGGAGCCCATTAACATCAGCATGTGTCACTGGGGATGCAGACAGGCTGAAGCTCAGAAGAGAAATATCTCCAATTAATGCACAAATAGCTAAAGGTTACCTGGCTCTCCACCACACTGCAGGGCTGGCAGCTTAATTCCTGGGTCCCTCTCTCAGTTCCTCGTGGGGGTGCCTTATGTTGTTGGATAAATTCCTCCAGCATTAAAACCTAAATCAGGAGACAAGAAATGTCAAGCAGTGACACAAAGCCTCGTCTCCAGGACATGGTCGTTAATCAGGGACTCAGCTCTCCTGGGTCAGTTAGGCTCATTCTAAACAGGCTGCTGCAAAAGCCATCACAAATTAGCCACTTTCTCAGTGGTTCTAGAAAAAGATGAGCATAGCGAGTTTACAGCATTCCACACTTTCTTCTGAAGTTATATGCATATCTATAGTAGATCTGTGGAGTGACTTTCACTGGCTTTTATGCCAGTCTTAGAAAGCCATTCATTCAATTTCATTTCATTTTCTAACATAGAAAAGAACAGACAAAAGTTATTATATGCCTAAGACATGGAAATATTAGATTCCTTAATTTCCTCTAAAAAATATTTAGTTGGTAAAGAAAATGAACAGCATTGAAGAATTGCAGAGATAAATTGAGAGAAGACTGGCTGGAAGGCGCTATGAAATTATAAAGCTTTCATTGTGGTGGTAATCACTAACCAACTGATTGTAACTTATCAATTAAACAGATCGTTTTCCCATGCAGACTTTGAGGATAATGAGGCCAATAACCATAATGGAAATTCAGACACTGCTGGCAAATCTGTGTAGGTCCAATGCTTGTCAGACACCACAGTGGGGACAAGGAGGAAAGGGAAGGAACAGAGTAAGAGCAGAACAGTATGAAAATGAAAATGGTTGCTGCCTTTAAGCTTCTTGTTCTGTGGGTTTGTAACCATAGCAACACTCAGTAGAGATTTGTACAAAATAATACAGCACGATTAATAGTGTGTTTGTGCCAGTAATATAAGTACTTTTATCATGTTAAATTTTTCAATCCTCACAAAAGTCCCTATGAGGCAGGTATAATGTGCAAAATTTGAGGTACTAAACTCTGGCCTAGGGAGTCTAGACAACTTAAGGATAGTGAAGGATGAACAAGAGTCTGGCAGGGGTGAAGGTGGGAGAAGGTGGGCAGGATGGGTGTGAAGACTGAAGTAAGGCTCCATGTGGTGGGGGTTCATAGCAGGGAGTAGACCGAGAGGGCAAAGTCAGGGACTAGTGGTGGTAAGTAAGGTTGAGGACAAATGGGAAAAAATAGAGATTACAGATTTTAGGAGGAGAGGCCTTATGCAGGTTCTGGTTTTAGAACATAAGTTCTCGTAAAGTCAGGGACTAGTGGTGGTAAGTAAGGTTGAGGACAAATGGGAAAAAAATAGAGATTACAGATTTTAGGAGGAGGGGCCTTATGCAGGTTCTGGTTTTAGAACATAAGTTCTCATCAAACTACCTTCTAAATGTTTAGGTTTATCACCATTGATTTGTGTTGCTCTCAACTTTGGTCAGAGAAGCCTCTTTTCACAGTGGTAGCAGTTAAAGCAAAGACACGTAACTGGTCAAAGTGTTAAGTTAAGTAACTGTGAGTGTTCAGCTGTAGATGAATCATCTATATTAACATTCCCCCATCCAAGGCTCAGGGAGGACCTTTGGAATGTGCTCAGAAAGAATGTAAGAGCTGGCAAATTAGGAGGTCTGTGAAATGCTGACTTCTGGACACGACATGGGTTTTGCATACATGAACTCACAGGAACTGTGGTTACCTGCAAAATACATGCAAAATATCAAGCCAGTCAAAATTCCAACATGAATAGGGAAGAGGACTCCACAGCCCTACCACTGGGGACGAGTCACTGACATTAGATGGCTGCTGAGGGAGGGAGAGTTGTTCTCCTTTGAGGACATGGATACCAGAAGGTTGTCCATGCCTCAGTGAATAGCCCCACACTCTTGAGCATGTGGGTATCACACAATGAATCAATAACAAAAAAGGAGGGGCATCAAGTTGGGAGGAAGACAGTGAGGGAGATGGACAGAAGTAACAGATGAATATAGTCAAAAATATATTGTATAAATATATAAAATTTTCAAAGAAATAGGAAAAATATATTTTAGAGTTGGAAATGCAAGCTTATATTATGCTGTATTGCTAGGACTACAGAGATGGTTCAGTGGTTGAGAGCACTGGCTGCTCTTGCAGAGGACCTAGGCTTGATTCCCAGCACACACATGGTGGCTAGAAACTGTCTATAACTCCAGTTCCAAGGGAATCCAAAACCCTCTTCTGACCTCCACAGGTATTGCATGACACCAGTACACTTGCACACATGCAGGCAATACACTCATATGCATAAAAATAACAATATTTTTAGAAAAGATGTATTGCTAAATCTGCTCTATGAATGCTACCTTTTTGTTGATTGGATGAAATAATTGAAAAATGTGTCTTAAAATGTTTTCAATGTAACTGATAGTAAATATCTTGAACTTTTTTATAAGTCAATTGATAAAAATTTAACTCTGAATGTAAATCAATCATTTAATTCTCAGTGGGATTTCCTATGAGGTGGATAGCCTTTGTGTTAGGAGGCAACTACTTTTACTGCCCCAATGTTAGAATGTGTTCAAGAATTTATGATCCTATTCCGGTTGTTTTGACTCTCACAAATTTCCTGTTATGAAGTTCATTTTCTGTTAAACTTTCCTAATGCATATCTCCCACTAAGTTCCAATATCCACAGAGAACTCTCTTTAAAAGCTGTCTGAACAGCCACTGGCCCCAACTTTACTTGTGCAAATAAATACAATCACAGTTACATGTTTGTACTTTTGCAAAGGATAAGTTACTGTGGTTTTAGAATGATGAGCCCCAAATTCACAGCATTATTGAGAACATAGCCTGATGCAATTGCCTTCATGAAATAAGAACACATTTGTCTGAGGGGATTCAGCTGTTTTCCTTCTGATGAAGCATCCAAAATTATGTAACACAGTGTCACATCTCTTGTTTTAAATATATTCGAAAACAAATTGAATACTTACACATGTATGTGTGTGTTGATATGTCTATAAATATGAAACAGGATCTCATTAGCTGAAACTACCTCAAACTTATTATGTAGCTGAAGATGATCTTGAAATTGTGGTTGCTGGGTTTCTTGCTATCTTAGGGACAGAACCTGAGATACTGCACATGCTAGGCAGGTGCTCTCTCAACTGAACAATAGTCCCAGGCCCCCATATGTCTGTGTTTTTTATGTTGGTATTTGTAAGCTACTACTGTGTACAATTGAGACGTGTTATTTTTATATCTTTTACGTATTTCAATATAGGGGGCTGGAGAGATGACTCAGAGGTTAAGAACACTGATTGTTCTTGCAAAAGACTCAGGTTCGAATCCTAGCACCCACATGGCAGCTAACAACTGTCCGTAACTCCAGTTCCAGGGGATCTGACAGCCTCTTCTGTCCTCCATGGGCATTGCATGACATGGGTGCACTTATCTACATGCAGGCAATACACACATACACATAAAAATCATAAATAAAATATTTTTTATAAAGTCACTAAAATGAATAATTTCAATATAGATAGATTTTAATGTTTTTGTTTTCCACTTCTTTCTGTAGTAGTAACTGTTCATCAAATTTTATACTAGGCAAGTTTTATATAAAGAGAAAATCCCAGTAAAATAAAGTAGAAATCTTATCTAATAAGTTATTATACTCTTTGAAAATATTTTTGTTTTCTAAGTACTGTCTGCTTTAATTTTTGCAATGTATAAGTATTTGGAGACTAGCAGAAGTTTCAGTATCTCCAGTGCTGTGCATTTAATCCTGTATGGTAAAGGCCAAGAGAAGATACAGAAATAGATTCCTGCTAAAGAGAAGGGCAGAACAGCCAGGCCTTTAATCCCAACACTCTGGAGGCAGAGGCAGGTGGATCTCTGTGAGTTCAAGGCCAGCCTGGTCTACATAGTGAATTCCAGGTCAGCTGGGGCTTCAGGGAGATCGAGGGGGGTAGAGGGAGAGAGAGAGAGAGAGAGAGAGAGAGAGAGAGACTGAGAGAGAGCAAACTTAGGACATGTAGAGAAAAAGCACAAAATCAAACAATGAAAAGATGAAGAGATTTGTCATAAATGATGGCCAATTTCTCAGTTACCTCTGATACCCTAAGTGTCAAATGACAATAACAACATTGCAGCATGTAAACCAACAGGAGACACTCTCTAACAGAAAGAAGGGGCTAGTATGAAACAGATGTTATCAGAGGGGAGGTAGGGAAACTGGGAGTGTTTGACTGGAAGGGGAGGAGGGAAGGACATGCAGGGGGCCATGGTGGTCGGGGAGAAGGGAACTCAGGAGACGGGGAACGATGGGAGGCGGGTGTTATTGGGGGAAGTGTGAGGATAATGTGGGTGCTTGGACTGGGGAGTAAGAGAAAGGTTGGACAGAGAAAGAGGAGAGACGAATGGATCTTGGCGGGGTTAGGGAAACCAGAGGGAAATGTGTTGGCTCCAGAACCCCCTGAAAAATGCACATACAATGTCTGAGCATTAGTACACACGTGTACCTGGGGGCTGTATGCCAAGGAACACAGTGCCAGACAGGAGAGACCTCTCTTAGAGTGGTTGGTCAGAGTAGTCCAAGAGACTCTCAAAATAACACAGGCTATTGCCAAAGCTCTTGGTTATCTCTCAGAACTGGAAGTTAAGACCCTAGTGCTAAAGACAGGACACACTTCAGACACAGGACTTGGAGCAATGGAGCAGGAACTGACCTGGAAATCTTCTATCTGAAGTTTAGCTCTCATAGTTCTAGAGGATAATATGCATGCTGCTAAGGGAAAAATCAACAGTCCAACCCAACCCTAAAACCTAATAACCATAGTAACCAGCACAGAAAACTACTGCAATTGGTGCAGTAGTGGCACTGTTATCTGGGGAGTAATCAACAGCTCTCTAATTGAAATGAGTTTATCCTCTCAATAGGAATGAACTCATGGGTGGCACTGTAAACACAGTCAAATCCACATGGCTAGAGAGGTCATAGATCCTAGAGAAAACCCTAACACTGTCATATCTCTAGACAAATGAAATTTCTTACCATATGCTAAATGTGGATCCTTCTATTTACAAACAAGTACTGCACACCACTCATCAAAGAAGCTTCTTTTTGCAACAAACGAAAGCTACTGCAGAATCCCACAACAGGTCAGACACAGAGACTACATGTCTGAGAGATACCCAGTCCTAGGTGACACATCTACAGTGGAACATCTACACCTTAGGCTCATGGAACATAGCAGAACAGTGGGTAGAGAGAAAACTAATGCATCCCTCAACTCTCATCAGTGAAACCTCCTTATACAACAGAGTGCGATGTACACAGAAGGCTACAACTGGTCGATATACACTGGCCAAGTTTTAAAGAATAAGGGACTGTGGAGTGTGTGTCTTTGGATAAGACTCCTATATTAAACCTCATCCACCCACAGCTCAGGGACCATTGTGGAAGAGAGGGCAGAAAGATTGTAAGAGCCAGGGTTGATCCACAAACACAGGGAAACAGAGGCTTTCAGGCCACTAGAGCTTGCTCATATGAACTTGTGGCAATGGTGGCATCGAGCACAAGACCCATGTCCACTCAATCAGACAAGGTCCCAGAGTGGAGAAAAGGAAGAAGGTAGCAGGCAGACCCTAGTCTAGGAACTGTTGGAGACTGATTACTATTGGGTCAAGGAGAGTAGACCTTACTTACAGTCTCTAGATAAGCTGACTAGACTCCAGTGGATAAACTTGCACTGAAGGATATTTGGTACAAATGCATGACTGGATAGGACTTAACATGTATGGTGGAATGCATGAGATCCAATGGGCAGGGGTGGGTGTTGGGGCACGGATGGGGGAGGGAGTCTCAATTTGAAGAGTCAGGGTCTTAGTATGTTGCCCGGGTTGCTCTTGGTTCTTGCACTCTGGGGCTGGAGCCTCAGTCTCTAAGTAGCTGATACTACAGGCCTGGGCCACTGTGTCCGCCCTGCAGTTGTTTATGTAACATCTCTAGGCAGGTAAAGTAAGAGTCTAGGTGAGTCACTCTGAGAATCTTGTTCAAGACATTGTATATGGGGAAGGGAGGAGATACACAGGCTTGAGCCATATGACCCACTGGACTTGACCTGAGTGGCTGTGATGGTGGGGCACGAGGGGACTGGGGATGAGGATGGGAGAACTAGGAGAAGTGGAAGTCGTCACGGTGCTTCCATTCCCAGATCTGGTGAGTGGGGAGATGGCAGCACCATTCATGTGGTAGAAGGAATTATGGTCAAAGAGCAGAATGCAGTTCTTTGTCCATGGTCATGGCTTATGACTGGTAGTTATTTAGGTCCTGAATGATCCTCAGTCATCAGAGGTGACATACTGTACCAGAGGTAGCATGGCCATAGTGGTGAAGAGTGGGGAGTCACACTGCCAGGGTTTGGATCCCAGATTTGCTACTTATTGGATATGCAATTTGTGAGAAAGTATTTGCCTTCTCGCCATCTCAGTTTTTTCATTTCCAAATTGAAGATAACAATAGCATCTCTGTTGTAAATGGTGGGGGGGATGGAAAGAGCTAATATATGCAAAAAGACTTAGTATCTTGATTAGAGAAAGTATTCCATGACTGTAAGTCATTTTGTGGTGCTGAGGATTGAACTCAGGGCCTCATACATCCTGGGCTAATTCTCTACTGCTGAGCTGTATCCCCAGCCTAGTCTTGTTATTTTTAAACTTTTTAAAATTTTTTTATTTATTATTTTTATTTTACGTGTATGCGTGTATTGCCTGCATGTAGGTAAGTGCACCCATGTCGTGAATTACCTGCGGAGGTCAGAAGAAGCTGTCAGATCCCCTGGGACTGGAGTTACAGGCTGTTGTTAGCTGCCATGTGGGTGCTGGGATTCGAACCCGGGTCTTCTGCAAGAACAACCAGTGTTCTTAACCTTTGAGCCATCTCCCCAGTCCCTAGTCTTGTTATTTTTTTTTAAAGAAGAGTTAAGTTGAATTCGCTGAAATGGTCAGTTTCTTGACATGGCCCAGGTATCCCATATCAGAAGAATACCTGGACAGCTTGACTCACTTTAAGCTCTGCAGAACAGAGTAGACCAGGAACAGTATCAAGATGGGAGGCAGGGAAGGAGGGAGATGCAGAAGGAAGAGAAGCCAGAGAAGAGGGGAGAAGAGAAAGGTGCTCCTTTGCTGTGCAGCTGCCTCCATCACTGCAGAGAATGTTGAAAAAAAAAAAAAGACCTCAAGATCCTAACACACTAAGTCTCAGACAACCACGGGGAAGAAGAGATAAGGCATCACAAAGAGACAGTAGTAAGGTGGTACATGTCTCCTGAATCCACCATCCCCTCTCCCCTCTAGAAATAACCACTGGCCTAAATTTTCCTGTTATCCTCATTCATTTTTGGAATTAACCTTCACAGACATGTATTTCTAAGCAATTGACATTATTTGCACATAGCCTCTGTATTCTTGAAAGTACCCCAGAGTTGTTATGGGTATAGCTCAGTGGTTCAGCTCTTGACTATCAAGGCCATGGGTTTGGTTCCCAGAGGTTGTGGTGTATGGCTAGAGCTGAGGAGCCAGTTTCACAGGTCCCTGAAGATAGTAGGAGACACAGGTCTCTTGACGGTTTGAGAGAAGGCAAGAAAAAAGAAGGAAAGCTCTTTATATTTTTTGGTTCAATCAGACTTAGTAGTGACTCTTGCATCTGTGCCCAGTCTCTTCTGCTGGTTCTTAGTCCTTTCAAGAACCTGTGAAAGGGGCTGGAGAGATGGCTCAGCAATTAAGAGAACTGACTGCTCTTGCAGAGGACCCAGGTTTGATTCCCAGAACCTACATGGTGGCTAATAGCCATCTGTAACTCCAGTTCCAGGGGACCTGATGCCCTCTTCTGACCTCCATGGGCACTGCACAACACAGGCACAGTTACATACATGCAGACAATACATTCATACACATAAAATAAAAATAAAATATTTCTTAAAAAGAACATGAAGACGTTTCAATTTCTTTTAAAATCAGAAGCTTTAAAAAAAAAAAGCTTGGCTTACATTTATATTTCTATCAATGCAGTCCTAAACATAAACATTTTAATATACTTTTTATAACAAAAGGGGCCCAAGAGGGCAAGGGTGTCTTGGGCTCACAAAATGACAGTGCAGCCTGCAGCAGGAAGACAGGATATTTACAGCCTTGGGTATCACTTAGCCCAGAACCCTCCTGCCACCTTCTTTTATGGGAGACATCAAAGGCCTCTTTGTTTAAGCCTCTATAAAGTCAGACACTCTGTTTCTTGCAGCTGAATTTATGCCCCCTGAGACAGCCTTCCTGGTGGCTGAGTGCCCTTGGCTTTGTTCAGAGGATGTAGGGGAGTGGTGGCTATCTCCTGAGCCTCCCCAGACCTCCTTTAGCCAGAAATTCCCGGAGGCCACAGCCGCTGTTCCCAAGCGCTGTATTTTGGAGGTTTACCTCACGCAGAGAATTCTGAAGCTTCACACTGAGGGCTGCTTTTTCGTCCTCCAGCTGTTTTATTTCCCGTTCTGATTTTGTCTTCACTTCCTCCAACTGTGCTTCAACTTCCTAAATGAAGATCAGAAGGATTAGCCACACGAGGCGGAAAAGCAGGCCACTTAGGCATTCGTACATTGCCTTATTTTTGAAGTGGATCAGAGAAACTGTATTTTTTATTATTTTTTTAAATTAATTTTATTTTATGTATATGAGTGCATTGCCTGCATGTATGTGAGTGCACCCATGTCATGCAATGCCGCGGAGGTCAGAAGAGGGCTTCGGATTCCCTGGAACTGGAGTTAAGGATAGTTCGTAGCCGCCATGTGGATGCTGGGAATTGAACCCGGGTCCACTGCAAGAGCAGTCAGTGCTCTTAACTTCTGAGCCATCTCTCCAGCCCGAGAAACTGTATGTATTACAAAAGTAATAAAATACCGTAAGAACACATGACGAGAAATACATAAGCAGGCTGGGTGTGGTGTGGACACCATTAGTCCCAGCACACCAAAAGCAGAGGCAGGTGGATGCAAGCTGGAGGACAGCCTGGTCTCCACAGCAAGTTCCAGGCCAGCCAGAGACCTCGTCTGAAATTAATTAATTAATTAATTAATTAATTAATTAATTAATCAAAGGAGTAAGGAGCTCTTGAGCTGACCTCTGCAACAAGTGGACAAAGATTTGTGTGCTTGGGGCAATTCTGAGTGTCAAATGAAAGCCTGTTATTTATTCATTCATTCCACAGATCAATACTGACTAAATAGTTACATTATGTCAACCACCATGATAAGGAGCTGTGGATATAGTCAGTATGTACTGGCTGGCCAATGTTATGGGCTTTTCAAATAAATTAATTGATAAGACACATTGACTGTAGCATTTGTTGGTTTTCATAGTATAAATGCTTTTACTGTGGCCAATGTCAAGCTATCATAGTGATGTAGCTGAATATGAAATAGGAAAGAGGTGTCTGTTAGCTTTCACTTGATATGATAAAACACTCTGACCAAAACCAGCTTTGGAGGAAAGGTTTATTTGACTTACACCTCCTGACCACAGTTCATCACTGAAGAAAGCCAGAGCAGGAACTCAGGACAGGATCTGGAGGCAGCAACAGAAGCAGAGACCATGGAGGAAGGCTACTCACTGGCCTGCTCCTCTGACCTGTGCTCAGCCTGCTTCCTTATTCCACCCAAGGCCACCTGCCCAGGGGCAGCACCACCTGCAGTAGACTGGGCCTCCCACATCACTGAACAGTCAAGAAAATGTCTCACAGACATGCCCACAGGCCAGCCTCATACCAGAAATTCCCCAAATGAGGTTCCCTATTCCCAGGTGTGTCAACTTGACAGATGCCAACCATGGCAAGGTGTGACAACTGCCTCTCCTGAGTCAGTATGAACTGGCTACAACACATCCTGGATTGATAGTGAACAAGGCAGGCCAGTGAGGAAACACAGTGACTGGCTGTGGGAATGATTATTTTACCTAGCCTTGTGACCAAAGTTAATGTTTTATGTTTTGTTAAGTCTTCTGTTTTGAGATCATTTAATACTATCTCACCTCGCTTGTAATGTAAACAAGCTTACTAGGTCTTGGACTGCTTTTGTAACCTAAACATACAGTTTTAATTCCTCATGACCCTTCTTTACCATTGACCCAGAATTGTGTGTGTGTGTGTGTGTGTGTGTGTGTGTGTGTATAGTATAAAAATATCAATGCTGCAAGCACTGAATATTCATTGGAAGCAAGGAATTCTCTCATTTATGCTGTAAACAACAGACAGGATTAGGTTGATAGCATCTGACTTCAAGTACTGGGTCAGTAGGGATCAGGAAGGGAAAAACCCTTCTCTGATAAGGTTCTTCATTCCTTCCCCATATCATGAGGGATATATTGTTTTAATAAAGAAAAAGCAAGACCTTAGTTCAAGAAAACAGTTCTAAGAACACAGTTCTGGGAGAAATCTGAAGGAACAAGTTCTCAGAACAGATCAGGCCCCTCTCTTGGTTTTAATGGATGCTAAGAGTTAGGCTGTTTTTGTTTAGGCATTGCTGTAATGTGGCATTGTACCACCACAAATATTAGTTACAAGGCAGTGTGATCCTAATGTATAAGTGCTAACATAGGGACAGGGTGCCACATATCTGACTGCAGCATCAGAAGGCTAGGAAGACAAGACCTGAGAGAAGACTGTTAAATCAGGATCAGTAAGATCAATAAGAACTCGATGGGCAAATTTGAGAGTGGGGAGGAAATTGTTCTGAATGAAGGAAAATCTATGCACAAAGTCTCAAAGAGAAAGAACATGGAACACATGAGGAAATAAAAAAGGCCAACAGGCAGAGTTGGACAGGGAAAGACATGGGACCAGTGAGGCAGAGAAGCAAATAGGTATCTGTCTTTGTGTCACTGCAAGTGTCTGAAGAACAATGTGACGACGATAGGGAGCTGTGAAGAGCCGGGATCCAAGGCTGAGCTGCCACAAGATCTTGCTAGAATGGAGACAGGATGATATGAAGTGGGGAGAGTGGAGACAGATTTTGACATGGTCCAATCAAGTCATGGAGATTGGGGTTGAAGAGATGGCTCAGCAGTTAAGACCACTGGCTGCTCTTGCAGAGGACCAAGGTCTGGTTCTCAGCACCCATACTGCAGCTAACAGCCAGCTGTAACTACAGTTCCAGAGGATCTGAAACAATCTTCTGGCCTCCGTGTGTTTGCATGACATAGATGTACTTACATACACGTAGGCCAAACGCGTGTATGTGTAAAAATAAATAAATTTTTTTAAAAAGTCATGGAGGAGGCTAGAGAAATGGCTCAGCTGTTATGAGCACTGGTTGCTCTTGCAGAGGACCCAGGTTCAATTCCCAGCGCACAAGATCTTGCTAGAATGGAGACAGGATGATATGAAGTGGGGAGAGTGGAGACAGATTTTGACATGGTCCAATCAAGTCATGGAGATTGGGGTTGAAGAGATGGCTCAGCAGTTAAGACCACTGGCTGCTCTTGCAGAGGACCAAGGTCTGGTTCTCAGCACCCATACTGCAGCTAACAGCCAGCTGTAACTACAGTTCCAGAGGATCTGAAACAATCTTCTGGCCTCCGTGTGTTTGCATGACATAGATGTACTTACATACACGTAGGCCAAACGCGTGTATGTGTAAAAATAAATAAATTTTTTTAAAAAGTCATGGAGGAGGCTAGAGAAATGGCTCAGCTGTTATGAGCACTGGTTGCTCTTGCAGAGGACCCAGGTTCAATTCCCAGCGCCCACATGGCTGCTAACAACTGTCCATAGCTCCAGTTCCAGAGGAATCTGATGCCCTCTTCTGACCTCCATGGGCACTGCATGACATGGGGGCATACACATATGTAGGCCATACACTCATACACTAAAAATAAAAATATTTTAAAGGTCATGGAGGTTGACTGACTTAGCCTAGAATCACTGAGGAGAGAGGGATGTGCAAATATTCTGGGGCATCAGAACAGAACAGAATTAAAATACTCAGTGATTGAGTGTGAGGGGTAGGAGAGAAGTCATGCTTGATTCCCAGGTTTCTAGTTTGACAATCTACAAGGATGTGCTACTGATCACCTGGATGGCACCTCTACATGCTATGGCACCAAGCCCAGACCAGCCATTGGCCCTGAGGTGGCTCTTAGCACTGTCCCTGGGTCAGTGTTTTCAGGGACTCTAAAAGAGCCCTGTGCTTAGATTGTCAGTGTTGGATGACATGGCTACTTGGCATGTGGTCTCCCTTTGATCAACATATGCTATCCTCAGAACTTGCTGTTTGGGAGTCAGCTTCCCAAAGATAATATATAACAATATATAGGTAATTCTTTGCTACCAAACAAGCTGAGATAAATAAAGCAGCCATCAGAATCCCTCAGCAAAAATTTCTGATTTTTTACTTCACTAATTAGTTTCTCATCCATAGACACCTTCGTTGGATGGAATTTGGTTTACCACGCACTCTTACTGGCATGGAAAGTAACTCCACTAAGACACACTCACACTATAACAGCCAGCGAGAATACTCTGCTGTAATGATTTTTGGCATAATGGAAGGTCTGTTTCTAATTTTACACAGCACAACTTTCTGGTACATACAATCAATCATAGCTTCTGCTGTTGCCTTAACAAATGGCCCTAGAGTGAGAAAATAAAAACCCCTACAGGTGAAAAGAATCAATTTCAGCAGTACATTTTAGCATTACTAAGCTTCCTCACAGGTACAGAATAATGTGGATTACAGTTAGAAAACAGTTCTGTGTCACCTAGAGAACACAGGGCAGAAAGGAATCTGTCCAGCTCACTCAAGGTGACCTTGAAGATTTCAACTCAAGTAGAGGGGAAAAGCAATCGCAAGGTCAAGAACATGAGCAAAGTAAAGAGACCAATGCATTCAAATACATGAACTGATGCACCCCCAAGAAGGGGATTCTACACAACAAGGATTTATCAAATGATTCATTTTCACCGAACTCCTGTATACTGAGAAGCAAGCTTTTACAAGGAGGAGATTCCACGGCTGACAGGAGCAGGGCTCAAGCAGGACTCTAGCCCTCTTTATGTTTCTACATTGTCTACAATTACTGGTAACTTAAGAAAATAATCAGCTGGGAGTGGGGGTGATGCATGCTTGTAATCTTGTAATCCCAGGAAGCTAAGTAAGACAGAAGGATCACGAGTGTGAGGACAGCCTGGGTTACATAGTAAGACCCAACCTCAAACAAACAAGCATATATACAAGCAAACAGAGGGAGGGAAGAAGCAAGGGAGGGGAGGAGGGAGGGAGGGAGGGAGGGAGGGAAGGAAGGAATGCAAAGAAGCCACTGTGTCTAAAGTCTGTTTTTCTGTTGTTAATTAGATGATACCACAAACCATGCACAACATTTTTAAAAAAGAGGTTTATTCTGGCCCAAGGTGAGGGGCCAAATCTGTTGATCCTCTGTTTTCTTGTTGGAAGAGTGTTGTGGTAGCCAGTACAAAATCATCTTCACAGGTCACTTCGGGCCACTTACAGGAAGACAACCCGTTCTGTTAGTTATAAAATCTC